ACATTCATGCTGTCACTCAGAATGACTAGATTCACATATTTTTCTCGGTCATCTCATTGTAAGGTGATCCCACGACAAAAAGAACCAAATATATAATTTAATATATATCAGATACTATAGCATTAGGTAAACACCAGTAAAAAGCTATCAGGTTAAAGCACACACATTTATTCCTACTATGGTCTTAGCAAGTACTTCATGAAATTCACCAAGTCAAGATGGTAGAACTTATACTATAGGTCTTTCTCTGAGTCCCTTGTCATTTGTTAGGTGGATAAAATGAAAGCAGTCGCTCAGGCTCCCAAATGAAAACAATGCTTGTGCAGCCTGGATTACTGAGCCTAGTGAGTTTATCTGTGCTCTGAAAGAAATCAAACTGTTGCTTGAAGGCAAAGTTTAGAGTTGTTTGTCTCTAACAACCTAAAGCTGAGAGTTGAGCTCACACAGACTTACAGCCATTTTGCATAGGTTCTTGCTCCTGGTTTTATAAGACTGTCACTTCTTTGGACTTTGTTCTAGAAAATGTAAATCTACCACAGAAGAACTTTACTACAAAAGTTTATCCAATCACACTTATAATCTTAGTTTAGATCTAATGATCTCTGTTTGAAGCCAGCCAGGGCCAGAAAAATCTGTGAGACTCTTATCTCCAATTATCTACTCAGAAAAGGCCAGAAATAACTCTGTGGCCCAAGTGGTAGCTTTGAACACAAATGCACAGGAATTCCATCTAAGCCCTGAGTGCAAGTCTAGCACGTGCATGCGCATGCACACGCACACACACACACACACAAACGATTATTGTTTCTTTCTAGAGAAGCTTTACGTTAGGTCACCAAACTATAGGCCCATCTTCCTATAAGAAAATTAGATATTCAACATACAAATTAAAAAATATATAGAAAAGAAACACCAAAAATATAAATCAGTAGCATATTATTCCATTCTTTAATTGGAATTTCAATTATTAAGGCACATTAATAAAAAGAAATTGTATCTATATCTTTAAGGCAATGTTTAGATGGAAACAATTAGGACTTTATATAATTTTAAATATAATGTGCTCACCAGGTAGGGTGGTTCACACCTGTAATCCTAGCTACTCCGGAGGCTGAGAACTGAAGATCACAGTTCATAAGACCAGGTAGAAAGGTCCATAGACTCTTATCTCCTATTAACCAGCAAAAACATGTCATGGAGGCATGGCCCAAGAGGTATAGTACCAGTATAGAATGAAAAAGTCAAGAGTAAAAGGCCCTGAGTTTATGTCTCAGGACTGGTGCCAAAGAAAAGTAACAAGCTAGATTGGAAAACATGATGAATTATGGAATCATATGCAATATATGGATTTGTTCCCAATATATGTGTTTCCATATCTCTACATGTAAAATGGGTGAACCATCCTACCAGTTTCTAAGTGCTTTTCAAGGCTTATTTCACAAGCCTTCAGTTTTGCTGTGTTCTGCATCTCATTGGATGTTAAGGGAGGAATGAAGATTTCCTGACTCAGTTCTATGGAAACAAAAGAGACATGAGGTTTTGAATAACTAAGTCATTTGAAGCAGCTTATTAGGTAAAAATCATATGAAATGTTCTCGTTAACCATATTGCTTGGGAACTCTAAGTTGTTAGGGAGTTCTAAATAATTAAGTGGATTTTCATATGAACTAGTAAACATGGCCACAAGTCATTTCCCTGATGACTTCTAATTCACAGAATTTGTCCTTAAAAATGCAGATTCGTCTCATATAGTAGATGCCAGCACACCATCTGATGAAAAGGAATCACATGCTAATTTATTAGACCACTTGCAAATGAGTGAGTCTAGAGTGTGGAAATATGCTTATAGATTTGGGATTATCCTCTTTTACTACTTAGAGCTAGTCTGGAAAAGCGATTACAACAATAGAACCCAAGTGTAACAATATCTATCCTGTACTTAAATAAACTTGTAGTTGGCAGAAAATCATCTTCCCATTTATTACAAATCTGCTAGGATATTTTTTTAGAATAAAGTGTATTCCTGAGAGGATAGGGTCTAAGCAAAATTCACTAGTGCTATAAAAATAAGGTTTAGAATTGTTGTTTTAATTACCCTGAAACAGATTTCTGCAAAGCATGGCTTTGCAGAATGTACACCATTATAAAAGAAGCAAATATATTTTTGTTCAAGTGCTTTGGAGCATAGAAAATTTTTTCTCTCAATACAGTTAGTATTCCTAAGAATATATTATGGGGTGATATGAAATAAGAGTATTTAGATCAGCAATGTACGTATCTGAAATGACCAGAAGTGTTATTCATAACATAATCTACAACAAATTTTGGTGACTAGGCAGATACCTGAGCATGGGATTAAACATAGGAAATCATACATGCTGAAATGTGACTTTAGTGTTATATGTTAACTTGAGAATTGATAGTAATCAAACACCTGAATTCTTACTCTCTGCTTAAGGACACAAAACCAGTCATAAGCAAAGTTGGCTAAGGTATTTGTTTAAAGGTTATACAAATACATTGTAAGTGATGGTGAAGTTCATATCTACAATGAACTCAGACTTACCATTAACTAAGAGTCCACATTAAATTTTTTTTTATCAGTACTGATGTGTTAGTTCAGGTTCTCATACTCGCTCAGCTGGTATACTACCACTTAAGCTATGCCTCCAGCCCTGCTTTTGCTGTTTTGTTTTGTTTTTGAAATACTGACACCTGGACTTCAATGTTAGGTTGGCCTCAATTTGAGATCCTCTATATTTCAGCTACAATTATAGCTACAATTATAAGCATCAGCCCCCAGTGCCCAATTTAAATTCTTTAATTGGAAATAGAAGGCTTTCGGCTTATAGATTTTCTTTTAGCCATCCAACAATCTCTTATTGAGGACTAGGAATTGCTTCATGTACTAGAAAATTCAGGATACAAAATTAGATCCTTTCATTCAAAGCTGTGATAGTCTGGGCATTGTAATAGAAAGGAGATACAGTTTTCCAATCATATAGGGCAGCCCTCTTTTAAGAAAATTATTCTGAGTACAAAAGTAAATATTGGGAAAAGAAACAACAAAGATATCAAAGGCATATTATTCCTATCTTAATCAGAATTTCAATTGATAAAGCTCATTCATAAAACGAAGTTGGTATGAATGGCATGGGAGCCCAGAGGGAGGGCACGGTTATTTGTAGTATTTACTTATGTATATATGTATTGATGATTGATCAATTGATGGACCAACTTGAATTCAGGACCTGGGCTCTATCCTTGAGCTTTTGTGCTCGAGGTTAGCCTCTACCACTTTGAGCCACAGCTCCATTTCCAGCTTTTTGATAGTTAATGGGGCACAAGAGTCTTATGGACTTTCTTGCCTGGTCTGGCTTTGAATCACAATCCTCAGATCTCAGCCTCCTGAATAGGGTAGTTAGGATTACAAGCACAAGTCATTGGCACACTAATGTATTTATTTACATATTTGTTTACTTACTTAATTTTGTGGGGTGTTCCAGGTCTCACCTTCTGAGTAGAGTAGCTAGGTTACAGCCATGAGTCATTGGGACCCTAATGTATGTATTATTTATTTTATTTATTTAATATTGGTGTGTGTGTGTGTCTGTGTGTGTGTGTGTGTGTGTGTGTGTTCCATTATGAGGGCTTGAACTCAGGGCCCTGTACTCTCACTTCGCTTTTTAGCTCACACTGGTACTCTACCATTTGAGCTATACCTCCAGCTCTGTCCCTGGTAATTTTGCTTCTAAATCTAAGTTGCAGATAGCCTTAGGCCTTTCAAATTGTTGCTTTCAATCTAAATTAGGAAGTAAGTTTTTGTAGTAACACAGGGCTTTCTGGGCAACAATTTGTTTGGGTTTGTGCCTCTGGTTAAAAAAGAAAAAGAAAAAAAAAAGAAAGGTATTAGTTATTAGTTTAGAATGGATGCACATTTATTGCAAAGTTGCCTTAATAATGAAACTGTCCTTGAACATGAACACCCACAAATGATAGGTTAGTTTCCATTAAGACATTTGCACTTATTTTTACAATGCTCTTTAGATGCAGAAAATTTTCTAAGACACATGACACGTAATTTTGTTCCATTCATTTATAAATTTCAAAACATTTGACATCAGCAAATCTAGAAGAATAATCAAAGGTTTTTGATAGTCCATAAAAATAGTTTTCTAACCTGTATGAATTGAGAAACATTGTTTTATTAGATGATATTGGTAAAGTTTAGAAACATAGTTGATTCTTTGGTGGTTTAATTTTCAAAGAGGAGAACTTTTAATTTACCAAGAGAACATGTGTTAAATATAGGAATGTAAGTTATAGTTTATGCTCATGTATATAAGCACATATTTTTTCTAGGGCTCCTATTCTTTCTTGAAAAATACATGTTATTCCCCTCCCCAATACCTATTTTACTGACTATTACAACCATAGAAAATTCATCCTATTCATCCCAATGTGAAGTTTTGAATTAAAAGAATTAGAAAGTCAATGTTGACAGTGATTTTGGAGTGAATTAGGAGAAGGGAGCAAAGGAGAGTCCAACATCAGCTGCAAAACTAAACTTTCATATAAGAAAGTAACATGAAAATAACAGGCCAATGTATAACAATTTCTTATTTCTCTACTTTAAAAAATGAGGCTAGAAATCAATCAATGATGTTTCACTTATTCATTCAACAAATACTTGTCAAGCGCCTACTATGTAATAGAGGCCAACAATAGAATGGAGAAAATAAAAGGCACATCACCCTTGCCCATATGGATTTTGTATACAATGGGAAATTTTAACATCTTATATACATTGTTTCAAAAGATACAGGGAGGGGATAGAGTGGGGTGTAATTTGGGCTGATAACAGGTTAGTAAACAAGTGAAAATCAAATTGACTGATCATGTACTGGCAGTGGCCACTCGTGAGTCTCAAGTGGTATCTGTTTTTTGCTCTGGTTGCAACTACTACAAGTTCATGTACATTTTTCTTTGATTCCCTCTAGTATATGACTGCTGCTGCTCCTATGCAGGGGACCTACATTCCCCAGTACACGCCTGTGCCTCCGACAGCTGTTTCTATTGAAGTAAGTCAATTCTTGTCTTGTAGAGAGATATTAGGAGAAATAAGTCCCAGTGACCTATACTTTGGTCCCCATAACCCATGGAAACCTCGTGGATAATTGTTGTTGTGCTGCTCCAAAATAGGTAATTGCAAGCTCAGTATACAAAACCTATGTACATTTACACAACTTGCCCATATTTTATTTTACGTACAGAATGCTTAGAGAAAAGTCCAGAGAACAAATCACTACTACATTCAATGTTAAATCTTAACTACTCATAAATATAAAGAAAAATGTTTGCAACAGTTTGAATGAGTTAGCCCTCCAGTGTCCTGTTCCTCAAAACGATGGACCAACATCACTGACATTATCTTGAGCTTGTTACAAACACAGGGTCAGATGCCATCACTCAGTGAAATTTCATTTCATTTTAACATGATTTTTCCATGATCCAAATGCACATTAAAATGTGAGACACTGGATTACAATTCTCCAATTATTCTGCATATTAACATTGTTATAGAAACATCAATATTATTTTTCTTCTTGGGTTCTATAACCAGAGATTTTATTGATTTGTCTGAAATATGTACTGGACATCAGAAATATTTTGTAAGATTTCAGGCGAATCTAATATGTATTTTAAAAATTAAGGGAAAAAGAACTTGCTCTGGATGTTTTTTGCTAGCTTTGTCACTCAAGACTGGATCTCTGCCACTTGAGTTACAGCTCTACTCCTGGCTTTTTTAGTTAGAGATAAGACTCTTATGGACCTTCCTGCCAGGGATAGCTTCAAACTGCAATTCTCAGATCTCAGCCTCCTGAGTGTAAAGAATAATCTACTAGGACATGAGGCTCTGGTGCCCTGTATGAATGAACCTTGACAGATTTATGACTTCTTATAGAGAAGATCACTGTGGGTATCATAAATGATGCTTTCATCCCATCCTTTTTGGAAACTTTGTCCTTTCATCTCTCTTTCTGTTCGGATGAGTCCATACATTCTAGCTTCATTTTATTGGATCAAGCCATTAAACTAAAGGTAGAAGGAGAAATCATAGGGCTCTGCTGCTGCTGATAACCACAATTAAATCAGTATCCTTCTCACTGCTTCTAGTTCTTATTTTTAGTGCTCTCCTGATGCACATGTCCATTAAGGTAAGTGCATTTCTTCTCATAAGCTGGACATCCCAGGGAATGGTCAGAAATTAGGGTATTTGCATATGATACTCCACCAGTGAAGTTTGATAGAAACCTTTACTGATTGAATTGAGTATTTAAAAATGGTTATTTATTTGTTTTGAGTATGTAGAAATGTTTGCTTGTATCAAGTTTAATTAGGCACTACTTAATTTAAACATCCAAGAACAAGCAATTCTTTAAAATTTGATAGGTTTTAGACATGAGCTCAAACTAATGTGTCTTAAACAGATTTTAATTGGAGGTTTTTCAGAGCCTTAGGAATGGGATTAAATGTGTGTATTCTACAATATTTCACTATCAAAAGCAGCTATATCATGAGAAAGTCAATGACCTGGACACGGCAGGCACTGGAAGCACAAATTGTAGCCATGTATGTGCATGTTTGTATCTTCACACAAAAGGCATATGCTGTCTCTAGAACCAGAACAATGTGATGAGAATAAAATAATGAGACACGTTTGTCAATGTGGGTTTTTGTCTAGTTATAGAGTTTGAAAAAAGTTTCTCTGAAAAAATTTAAATGTCCTCATGAAAAAAGCACTGACTCATTTTCACGTAATATTCATCAGTGTCCACACAAATAAATACTGAGGCGCATGGAGCGGGGGGGGGGGGGGGGAGGGAGGGCTAGGGGAAGCAGGTGGCTTAGAAAGCCACAAGACAATATCACATTAGGAAAGAAAACAGTGAATAATTATAAGGAGAATTGTCCAATTCAAAGGAAGAATTTCAGGGATCTTAAGTAACAAATAATTGACTAACAGTACAACAGCACCACTGAGATCTAAGATTTATATGTTAAACCAGGAGGATGCCCTCCTCGGGTTTGCCGACATCCAAGCAAAGCTACCTGGGTCACCGTAGGACCCAAATATATGCTACTTATAATGATCAATTCTAGATATTCACTCTTGCTGCCACCTATAATACACAGAGGTGAAAGAATGGTGAAAGAAAAAATAATACAGAACAGAGATCATTTCCAGTTCATGTTTCAGAAAACAAAGCCAAATAAAACATATCCAATTACTAAGGTGAAAATCTACTCAACAGTATTCTTTTAAAAAGATTTCCAAGTGTTGATGTAGAATTGTTATGAAGTCTAGAGTTACTATAATCTTGTCAAATGAAACAGGTATGGTATAATAAGCTTTCTTTGAATATGCAAATACTTATAGGAATCCTTAATGCATTTTTATTAGTTATTATCTAGGATAATTGCATGAAATCACAGTCTAAAAGTTCTGGGTGTCAGTGGCTCACATCTAGAATCCTACCTACTCAGGAGTCTGAGATCTGAGAAATCATGATTCAAAGCCAGCCCAAGAAGAAATGTCCAGGAGACCCTTACCTCCATTAACTAGCAAAACACTTAGAAATGAACTGTGGCTCAAATGATAGAGTGCTAGCCTTGAGTGAAAAAAAGCATCCAGGTCCTGAGTTCAGCTCTTCTAACAGAGAAAGAAAGAAAGAAAGAAAGAAAGAAAGAAAGAAAGAAAGAAAGAAAGAAAGAAAGAAAGAAAGAAAGAAAGAAAGGAAGGAAGGAAGGAAGGAAGGAAGGAAGGAAGGAAGGAAGGAAGGAAAGAAAGAGAGAGAGAGATAGAGAAAGAGAAAGTTTCAAGTAAGGACAAAATGGTTTTCTGCCCATCTGTCCTGTTTAAGCGTCTGCATTCAGAGGCATGTGCATACATGCTCCATTAATTTCCTCTAAGTACATATGTAGTCAAGAGCATCTCTTCTCAAACCAGTAGCACAGGTATTTAAAGTCCATCCTGACAAGGATCTTTTGCTAAAGCAAATAAGGGTTTTGTCTATTTATTGCCTCCATAGGGTGTTGTTGCTGATACCTCTCCCCAGACAGTGGCACCTTCCTCCCAGGACACCAGTGGTCAGCAGCAACAAATAACAGTGGATGCACCCAATGAGCACGCACCTGCATATTCCTACCAACAGTCTAAGTAAGTGGGGCTTGTGCTAAGCTCATTCTCTCAGGATAATCACTTTTCTCAGTCTGTACTTGTACAGGTAACCATGCCACATGAATGTTTCTGTAGCACATAATTAATTGCTTGGATGGATTTGGTCTGACATCATGGATGTTTCTTCTCATTTTAGCTGGATTCAAGCGTGGGAATCAGCTGCTATTTATCTATGTGGCTCTAATTTGGGGTGGGCACTGGGTGATGGTTGGGTGATGGAAATGATTGGATTATATGTTTTAGATCTTTTAACCAGATAGTTCCAGGACAGGAAGAAAGAATGCTCAAAGGCAGCAAGCTTTTCAATTCTGCCCCATTGGCTACTGTCCAATTGGCCAAAGTTAGTCACTGGTACCAAGCAGAGTCAGTGTAGATGTTCACTACTAGAGAATGGCATTGCAGTTGTTTTATGGTGGTGGTGGTGGTGTTTTACCAGAAACAACAACAAAAGCCTGTCATATGTAGTCTTGGGAAAATTTCAAAATTCCGGTATTCCAATGCATGGATGTTGCATTCTGTTCTCTCCTTTCACTCTGAAATAAAGACAGTGACACTCTCCATGCAAAGTTATTTTGAACACCCAGTTAAATGTACATGAAAACCCATATTGAAAATAGAAGTAGAGCCTCACTCAGGAATTCAGTTGCAAAGAACATCAAGTTGTCAGAATTAGCCCTGGAAATTTTTAAATCACTCATCGTAACTACATTAGACTTTGGGTTGAATACATATGTAGAGTAAAAGCTGAGGGTTTTTTTTTTTCTGTACCAAATGAAAGGAATTCACTATAGGAAAATTTACACACAGATATCTTTACATGAAAACCATTCAACTCTGTAGATCACAGTCTATGAAACTGGTCAACAGAGAATTCCTAGATAATCTTTTTTAGGGAGTGTTATTCCATTTTCTTGTCATCATTTTGCTTCAGAAAGGAAATTTATTGTCATTTTTGAAAGAATAAAGAACCCAGGTGTGGTAACACCTGTAATCCTAGCACTTGTAGGTAGAGGCAGGAGATTTGCAAATTCAAGATAACCCAGACTACACAAACAAACCAACAAACAGAGTAAAGAAGACATTACTCAGGACTATTGCAATTTGTGTTAAGATTTCATAATAGTGGAAAGAGATTAGAATTATAGCTGAGACTTTAATGAAGAGGTGAGTGTGTGGAAATTACTAAGAAGAGACAGCAGGAATAGATTTTAGCTAAGATTCCTTAAGAGGATGCTTACTGAAGCCAGATCAAGGTAGGAAATGAAGATACTGACCAGATATGGATGATTATATATCACAGATGGAGAATTCTGTCTAAACTGCCTTAATATTCTTGCTGAAAATAAGCTATATAAACCTGCCAAGAATGGGAGCCAAAGCCTATTAAGAAGAGAGCTCAGATGGCCATACTGAAACTTGGCCAAGGAGAGAATCGTTGTACTCCTTAAATGGAGTCTTCTGTGTATAGTTAAAAATTAAATTTGCTTAGGATATCAGTTAATGTTTCAAACTAAGGTATTATTATCACTGCTCTCATTGCTATCAGAAACGATTTCCGGAAATACTGATGCTGAGTAAAACAAGCTGCTGTTTAATTCAGCTTCAGCTTGTACGTACATATTCCATGCAAAGAACAATGGCACCATCTCTAGCACTGTGGTGATTATATCAAGGTGTTCAGTCTGGTAAGTGTGAGGAAAGGATCATATACTGGCTATGAGGAGTGAGAGTCACTTGTGGGAGAGAAGAGAGATAATGTAACGGTTAATTTATTTGTCAATTTGGCTCTCAGTCATCTTGTGTCCAGATGGGCCAAGCATCATTAGGATCGTGGGAGTATTTTTGAGTGAGATCAGCATTTGAATCAGAAGAGAATAAAGCAGATGCTTCTCCCTAATGTAGGTGGCCCCCACCCAATCAGTTAAAGGCTGGAAAAGAACAGAAAGTGTACTCCTCCCATGAGGATGAGGGAACTTCATGCTTAAGCTGGAACATCTGTCTTTCCCTGCCTTTGGACTTGAAGTGAAACATTGTCTCTGCTTGGGTCTCAAGCCTTCCAGACCTGGGACTGGAATTTTTGCCATCAGCTTTCCTAGGTTCAGGATTTGGGATTAAAGCTGGAACAATACCATTGACTCTTCTAGATCTCCATTCTATTGATTGCAGATCTTGGTATCAGCCAATTCCTTATGATCTTTCCTTTCCACATTTCCTTCATAAATACACCACATGCTTACATTTACTCATGTGTTCATTCATTCATCCATCATATCAGTGCTGTTTGCCTAGAAAACCCAGACTAACCTCCGTTTCCAGATACATCTCACAGTTTAGTGAGTAGTTTTGTCTCTTCTAAATACATATAGTAAGGAAATGAGTGATTCTGTAACCTAGAATGGTCCTGCTGCCAGATTGGTGGTTTCTGGATAAATGGAAGTTAATCCATCTATTTGTGTAATCAATGTTTATTAAGAACTCTGATGTGATAGCTATTATTCTAGGTGCTAGGAAAAAGGCAAGTGAAAGAAAAAGACCTCTCCCCATCTCTCAGGGTTTATTTTCTAGTAAGATTAGACTTACAGTCAATGTGTCAATTAAAACACAACGAAAAATAATGGACTCCGGTGGCTCATGGCTTTAATCCTAAGTACTTAAGAGGCTGAGATCTAGAAAACCATAGTCTGAGGCAAGCCAAGGCAGAAAATTCTGCAAGAAAAGTCTGCAAAAAGATGAACTGAAGGTGAGCCTCAAGTAAGGGATCATGTCCACAAGCCTAGCAAGTGCTGAGGATCTGAATTTAAACCCCAGTACCAGGAAAAGTTAATTAATTAATTAGAATAAAAATGAAGCAAGCACAGAATTACAAAGGAGTAGAAAGTCTTCTTGTGGTAGACATGATAAGGTAAACACCTTATAGTGTTATCCAGAAGATCTTACTAGAAAAACAGTTTGAAGCTGAGCTTAGGGATATTTGGAGAAAAAGGGGTGTGTGTGTGTGTGTGTGTGTGTGTGTGTGTGTGTGTGTGTGTGTGTGTGTGTGTGTGCTGGTCCTGGGCTTGAAGTTAGTGCTTGGGTGCTGTCCCTGACAATTTTTTTTTGCTCTCTCTCACTTGAGCCACAGCTCTACTTCCAGCTATTTGGTGCTTAATTGAAAATAAGCAGCTCATGAACTTTTCTGCCTGCGCTGGCTTCCAACTGGGATCTTCAGATCTCAGCCTCCTACGTAGCTAGAATTAGCATCTGTTGGTAGTTTTTTGTTTGCTTTTTTTTGTTTTTGTTATTTGATTTTGTTTGGGGGAGGTGTTTTTAGTTTTTAGGGATTTTGGGTTTTGTATTTTTACTCATGTCTAGTCCACTACCACTTGAGCCACAGCTCTACTTCCAACTTTTTGCTGGTTAATTGGAGATAACTGACTTTACCACCCAGGCTAGCTTCAAACACATGATCCTCAGATCTGTGCTTTCTGAGTAGCTAGGACTACAGGCATGAATCACCAGTGGCCAACTGAGATTAAGCATTCTAAACAAAGGAAAACAGATATTTGGAGGTTATTTGAAATCCATAAGGGGAATTCAAGGCTGAAATGTCTAGATTATCCCAGAGATAGGTAAAGCCCAAATAGGCCAGCTACTTTTCAAACCTTTGACTTTTCTAAGAGTCATTATATTTTGTTTAAAGTGAACATATAAAATTGAAAGGACTTTGACAGGAGGGATGTCATTTATTTAGATAATATCAGTGACTATGCATCAACATGAATACAGAGATAGAACAGCTTGGATGTTTGGAAGTATTTTCTACAACAGTGGTAGTAGAAATGACAAAGGGTTCTTGATTACAAAAAGCTTGCTTTACACTTACACATTACATATATTGAAGGGTGCTTCACAGCTTCTGCTCCTTGACACAGCAGGCCAGACAGAGAGGAGAGTGCCAGGGGGACAGGAGACCTTCCAAAACTATGGAATGGGATAAACCACTTGTGTTTCCTTATCAATATTTGTTAAACCTGTTAAAAAAGGCTAACAGGCCCTATGAAGAGCTTTTTCATGGAAACAACAACAAAATATTGAAAGAAACATATTAAATAGATCTGTGGGTGCCAATCACTACAGAAAAAAATGCTACAAAAAGGAATAAATATGACACAACCCAAAGGTGGTGGTGGTGGTTGTTTTTGTTTAATCAGTTTCAGCCAAGGGAATTAGGTCTGTGTTGTATGAAGACATATGAATTCTGCAGAACCAATCACAGAAGACCCACAATTGGGCTAAACACTTGAGTCATGACTAAACAAAAGTTATTTTACCAATTTATTTCTGTTAGATTTGACCATTTTCTATACATAGGACTATGCTGTCCATACAGAGATTAACTGAAATCAACAACATTGTGAAGTTAGTTGCAGTCTATAGACTTCCCCAAATTCTTGTTATATCCTTTCTGTTGAGTTTAAGGAGAGGGTCTCTGAAATAATTTAGCCTATCCACATTATCTTAGTTACCTTAAATACTCTAAAGTTCACAAATGAAAGCTCATTTCCAACATCATTATGCTAATCAATCTGCCTCCATTTCCATCAGGCAACCTCTTTCTAACAATCATTATGGTAATTGAGATATTGATAGCTTAAACTACTTATACAAACTTCTACCCTTTCTCATTAAATGCTAGCTGACCTCTTGTGTGCTGTGAAATTCCGATGAGGGCAAATTAGTGGCCCTGAAAATAGCTTGACACAGCATACATATATTCAACACCAAAATGTCTACACAAAAGATATTAAAAATTACAGCTATTAAAACAAAAGATTTCATGAGAAGAGTTTAAGAAATAGATATCATTATACAGGAACTCAGTTATGAGAAACAGTCACATTTTGAAAGGTCGAATTGAGAGTCTTTATTGGACTACTGTAGCAAAGATCTGCAGCCCCTCAAATACACTTAACACTTAGAAAACAGAATCATGAAAGCAAGAGA